CTATACCACATAAAATCTGTGATCACTTTGCGCATAACATTTTCGAAATTGGGCGTCTGTTATCCAATCGCTTAGAAATTTACATGAGAAAAATTGCGTGAGTTGCCTGAGCAATATTCCGAAGAAATTTCTCAAAAAGCTCAAACCAAATTTGAATTATTCGAAAAGTCTAGAGGTATATACTTGTCAAACGCACTACAATTGACCGCCACTAATTTTTAGCCTGGTATCCACCACACAGCTGATTGAAATGTTGGTTTGCGTTGCGCAAACCGTAGTTAACCAGCACGCCACGGGCCGCGCCCCCGCAAGGAAATATTCCCGCGAGATTACTTTAGGTGACCTTACGCACTCCGCCGTGCCGCCGCAGCCGACTTGCGCAAGCACGCACTCTTGCGGAGTTCCGCATTTGAGTTGCACTCGCGTACGACATCCCGCACGAGCCACCCTTCGTCTGGCGGATGCATCCGTAGACGGCTCTTCTACTGCTGGCTGGTGTATTTTTTGCCAGTTGTCTGTTTTGCTGTGAGAGCTCGCCACGCAATTTTGTTTCCACCCTCCCCCACCTAGCGGACGGAGGGGAGACACGGGCTCGGCCGATGGGCACGAAATCCGCATGGTGCACATCCATCGGCTGCCGCAGACAATACATTTTTAAAATCTCCTTGTGGGTACTACCGACTACTTAGTGGTCATGCAGTTGCCATAGCAATGTACTGGTACACCCAGCCTTTATGATTGTTACATGACCCCATGGGTCATCTTTCAAACGCTCTTTCATAGCCGATCGACGCCGTTATTTGTTCCTATCATACTATGTTTCAGATGGGCGGCCTTTGACGACCCAGTACGATCATTTCACCCGAACTATGTTATACGTCATCATGATCACAATAATCATGTCGTGCTCACGTTCAATATAAGCTTGCGGCACCCCACTGGCTCATCTTTTCTGTGGTGTGAGGGTTAAGTGGCTTTTTTCTGGCCAGCGAATCCCTATTTTTCATTATTATTATTTTTTACACACACACGCCACACCACATACTCCGGCATACACTGGCTGTTGGTAACCACCCAGGAGGATGAAAGAAGAGCTAGGAGAATGAGAAAGAGAAGAAAGACGTGTGCGACCATAATCGTCGGGAATTGAACCGGCAACCTCTCGATTGGAAATCGACTGCACATACCACTGCACCATATGGGGGACACACACACACCTCAGACCTGCCCATCGCGGAAGCGATGATAGCGAACAGTTATGTTAGACATAGCAACTTGTGCTGGGATTACACCATTCAACAGCTTGCAAGACTGATGAATTGACCGCCACTATTTTTAGCCTGGTATCCACCACACAGCTGATTGAAGTGACTTTTTCTGGCCAGTGAATCCCTATTTTTCATTTTCCATTTTTTCTTTTCTTTTTTTCTTCGTTTTTTCTACACACACCACACCACATACGCCGGCATACACTGGCTGTTGGTAACCACCCAGGAGAATGAAAGAAAAGTCAGGAAGAGTCCGAGAAAGAGAAGAAAGATGTGTGCGACCATAATCGTCGGGAATTGAACCCGCAACCTCTCGATTGGAAATCGACTGCACATACCACTGCACCATATGGGACACACACACACACACACACACACACACACACACACACACACTTGTACTTGTTGCTCACTGTCAAAACTGGTCACGTGGGTCTCCCCGGGAGAGGGGAGAGAGACTCAAAAGGAATCTTGGAAAGATGACTCAATTGGCTATTGAACCGCCCAACGGCCGACGCCCCCTGAAATCCCCAAAACTCTGGGTGGACTTGAAAACGATCCCACTTATGGGCTCACCACACCTCAGTAAGTGGGTGAGGACAAGGTGCAGAAAAAGGATTGACGGCATCAGGGTATCCGTCCCGGGATCCAACTGCAGTTACCCCTGCCCTCAGTGAAGGTAATACTTGCTACTAGTGTGGGTGGCTAAATCAGAGTGGATCTGATACAAGCTTCACTAGCACCATGATTACACAAGAGTATATCTAGCCAGAAGTAGTCCATGGTTAACAGGTATACTTCAAATAGAAGGTGTATGAACCCTGAAACCAACAAAGGTGGTAGGTACAACATTACACCTTCAAGCACACCTTCAAGCAGCCGAGCCCGTTGGCAACAGACCCAACACTATCCGGCACAAGTTCCCAGGAATACAGAAGCTAGCAATGGTAGTCATGGCTCTACAATACAACTCACTGCTATCATCGGGAGATGAAAGCAGCTGCTAGGCGTTGAACGGCTGGATTATGTGATTACCAGAAACTCAGCTTGGCTAGTCATCCAGGTCACTCCAACATACAAGAGTTGACAATGCCTCATTCACTGCAGTGATCAGTTCCTTCCTTGCTACGCTGTCGCAACCTTTACATCTGCCGGTACAGTGTGTAAGGTGCACACGTTTGTTGTGGTGTCTGAAAGAAGGAAATTTGAGAATAGAAGGCAGGTTTTAAAGTACTGATAATATTCAGAAGAGAATGTATCATGAATCATGGATGAGCAGCCTATGCTCATTCTTAGTCACTAACTACACTGTAATGGCTTTACATGTGTCTTCACTTAACACTCTACTATACTGATACAGGTTATCAACTTACACACAGTGTATAGTAGTAGACAGGGGCGTATGCAGGATCCGCAATGAGGGGACTGCTCCAACCCTTTCCCAAAGAACCCAATAAAGGACCATTCATGTACATGTAATGCATGGATGGTTGATATCTTGATTTTTAGTGCGCTATTTACCATGATGTACCAAGTCGGGGGAAAGTGTAGGAGCTGTTCTGTAGGATGGAGCAACCATGAGGCCTTGAAGTACCCACTTAGCAATCACAAACATATCCCTCCCTTTGGAGGCCGTCACATTTTTAGGATTTCAAGGGCCCGAAACAACAAATTAGTACACTTTCGTGAACAATCGTTTCGGTTGCTTTGTCGGAACAACTGATCGGAGTGTTTCCGGAAAATCGGAATAGAACAAGTCGAGGCCCTGACGATATGGATAGCCCTCCGTCCTGGCACATTCAAGTACATGTAACACGGTCAACTATGATCAACTAGTGACAGCGAGTGGAAGGCAAAAAATCAGACTGACGGTGGCAAAGTTATGAAAGTTTTAGTGGCATGGGTCAGGGGCGTAGAAGCAGAGTTTCCAATGGTCCAGCGGATTGTTAGCTCCTTACAGGTCGCAATTTTTTTAATTTTTAACTCCGCCCAGTATGACTACTTCAGAATTGACTTTGTCTTGGGGGTTAGGCATGGGGAAGTTGCCATACAGGGGTGGTGAGCCCGCCTATTGGCACCGGGAATACAGCTCACTCGACTCTGTCTCTACTGAATGAAGAGGGCGATTTTACTTGTAAAAGGATTGATATGAACAAATACTGTGGTATCATGAAAGACTTGAGGTTTTAAAACTGTCTGAATTGGGAGAGCTGATGCTCACTTCCACATTCAAATTCACTCTTCAGGCACTAGACATCCAGCAGTTTCTTGTGGACATTCAGGAACATCAGGAGTCATGTTTGAGTCTTTCCTGGCCGGTTGTACTGTGTCGGATTTGACCCTCCGCATGGTTGAAAACGAGCTTGTTGCCTTTTTTCTTCTTTTTTTTGGCAAAACATCGATGGCCGCCGGACCTGCCGGACCTGTTCCTATGCCCCTGTGGGTACAGCATAAACGTTGGCCTATGTCGAACATTTTGAGGGGGTACTTGAGCACCCAAAGCACCCTCCCCCCCCCCCCCCTGGGTACACCACTGGTAGGAACTGAGTCTGTAGAATCTATTTAAAGTCCTGCACAGCTTGATAAGAGTTCAAACTTTTTATCTTGCATAGCACTGTAAAAAATACGTCAGTACCTAATCCTTTAAGGGAAACTTCTGCATTGCCATACCAACCAATTGTCTCCGGTCTTGCAGTACAACACATCCTTTCCCCTTCAACAACTGTCTCTGGTCTAAACTAGCATCTAGTTACCGCCTGAACACATCTACAGTCTCGATCTCAAGCAAACTGTTTGACTCATGAACTTAGCTGTCCAGCATGCCACACAGTTCACACGTGACTCACTGTCATAGAGGATGGCTAAGGTAATTACTAGTTGGTGATCAGTGGAATGGTGTGCTTGCTAACCGTGCCTGTGTTGTGTGTTTGTGCTGTGGTTCAGCAACTGTTGATCCAGGACTGAAACTTACAAGAATTGACAATCAGGCTTCATTCACTGCACATCAGTTCTTGGCTAGCAATGTTGACAATTAGGGTCAGACCTTAGTACCAGCAATACTTGCACACGGGCGGCGGTCACATTGAAATTAGTATCTGAAGAAAGCAAGAAAAATGGAGCATGAACGTCTTTCAAACAAAGGATCTGCACATTCTAAACCCCAAACATACACACACACACACACACACACACACACACACACACACACACACACACACACACACACACACACACACACACACACACACACACACACACACATACACACACACTTGTACTTGTTGCTCACTGCCAAAACTGGTCACGTGGGTCTCCCCGGGAGAGGGGAGAGAGACTCAAAAGGAATCTTGGAAAGATGACTCAATTGGCTATTGAACCGCCCAACGGCCGACACCCCCTGAAATCCCCAAAACTCTGGGTGGACTTGAAAATGATCCCAGTCAGCTGCCATTAGGCATTACTCGCCATTACTGAGTACAGAGCCAGTACACAGTACCGGTACGCGGTAGCACTAGTCGCGCATAGGAACAGTCCCTAGTCTAGATCCCTCTAGCCTAGGCTCTTGTAGTACATGGCTGTACATGCACACTGCAGTAAAAATCGCAAAAGAAATCGTCCTCTCCACCGAACCAGTTGCCAGTGGCAACACATGCAAGCCGCATACATGCACTTGACTTTGATTCTTCTTTTGTTGTTTTCAGTGTTTTCTCTTTCTCATTGATCTCGATAGTGTTGTGGTGCTCGTTACCTTACTGAGACATCTCGTGACCGTGGTTAGTGTCACCAACGGCGGAACGAGGCAGAGCGCCGGGATCGAGCGTGTAAAAACGCGCTGCATTAGCAGCTCCTGGATACAGAGCCAAGGTGCAAGCCAGCATGAGAGATCTTGAGAGATGGGAGATCAGCATGAGAGATGAGATCAGCATGAGATCAGCATGAGATCAGCATGAGAGAATGTAAAACTTCCAACTGGAGAGTGCTATGTTGTTAGGGACGTGTCCCAAAGTGCCATCACATGGCTGTGGAGACTAGTACACACATGGAGGAATATTTTTACTACAGTGATACGGAGTGATATGGAGTACAGATGGATGGATAGAAAAGAAAACTGAGATGATGGGAAGTAAGTACATGTCATGTAAGTTGATTGTGTGGAAGAAATTTGAAACAAGATAAAATAAAAGTTTCACTCAAACATACATGTAACATCCTGATTAGTATTCCATCTTCATTTTTCCAGTTAGTGGCACTCCACACGCTCCGATTACCTGGCGTATATGTGTGTGTGTGTGTGTGTGTGTGTGTGTGTGTGTGTGTGTGCGCGTGTGTGTGTGTGTGTGTGTGTGTGTGTGTGTGTGTGTGTGCCAGCTAGTCCGGTTGGTGGGTACACTTATGCCTGATTGTGTTGGTTCTGTTGCCAATGGGCTCGGCTGCTTGAAGGTGTAATGTTGTACCTGCCACCTTTGTTGGTTGCAGGGTTCATATACTTTCTATTTGAAGTATACATACCTGTTAACCATGGACTGCTTCTGGCTAGATTAACTCTTGTGTAATCAATGGTGCTAGTGAAGCTTATATCAGATCCACTCTGATTTAGCCACCCACACTAGTAGCAAGTATTACCTTCACTGGGGGCAGGGGTAACTGCAGTTGGATCCCGGGACGGATACCCTGATTCCGTCAATCCTTTTTCTGGAACTTGTCCTCGCCCACTTACTGAGGTGTGATGAGCCCATAAGTGGGATAGTTTTCAAGTCCACCCAGAGTTTTGGGGATTTCAGGGTTTTTTAGCCATTGAGCGGTTCTATAGCCAATTGAGTCATCTTTCCAAGATTCCTTTTGAGTCTCTCTCCCCTCTCCCGGGGAGACCCACGTGACCAGTTTTGGAAGTGAGCAACAAGCACAAGTGTGTGTATGTGTGTGAGTGTGTGTGTTTGTGTGTGTGTGTGTGTGCGCGTCCTCAGCCCTTGCAAAGACCCTTGGAGTGCCTGAGGACATTGGTCACATCGTACGGAAACGGCGTTTGCGCTGGCTTGGACACGTGACACGGATGGAAGATGACCGGTTGCCCAAGTGTGTTCTCTTCGGTGAACTGCCTGCCCCGCGTCCCGCGCATGCTCCAGGCAAGAGGTGGAGGACGTCATTATGGATGACGTTTCGTCGGTTGAGCCACCGGTACCAACATGTTGATGGTACGGTGCAGCCCAGAACAGTCCGGAGTGGCGTACCATTGCCCGTCGACCACCCAATGCACCCTCTGCTGCTGGCTACGGTTGCGCCTGTGGCCGCATGTTCCGTCGAAGTGGCGACCTGAAACGCAATCAGTCGTTCTGTCGTGGACTGGAGAATTAACTATGCGCTATCATTGCTAAGCAATGGGCAAGGTAAAGGTGTGTGTGTGTACTGCATGTGTGTGCATGTGTGTGTGTGTGTGTACAGTATGTGTGTGTGTGTGTGTGTGTGTGTGTGTGTGTGTACAGTATGTATGTGTGTGTGTGTGTGTACAGTATGTGTGTGTGTGTGTGTGTGTGTGTGTGTGTGTGTGTGTATTATGCGCCACGAACCTTTCTGCCGGTTGCCGCCATATTAGTCCTTTCTCCATCATTGCCTCTGGCAATGGGCAAGTTCAATGTTCAAGTATGTGTGTGTGTAAAGTCATGCACACACTCTCGTGTGTGGTTGAGTTGGCTAGACAAAGTGACCGTGCATGGGCACGAGGTTTCCGTCATGTCGATGGTATTGGAATTATGTACCGTATTTTCTGGAGACAACGCCGCACTTTGAACACTCAAAATTCACCCAAAAGAATGGCTTATATTCCAAAGACCAAAATAACAGTGATCATCAAATTGATGTCTGTATTTCATGGCAAAAAATGTGGGGGGGGGGGGGGGCTTATACTCCGGAAAAGACGGTACTGTATGACTTGTAATGTAAAATATAAATTTCTCTTAGCCTTGTTAGTGGAATTTGTGTCATTGCTCAGCGGGTATGGGTTGCAACGCCTTGTTGGTTATTGTGTAGGAACAACAAGTTACGCTATAATGTCCACTAACACCACCAGTTACTTGACAATCAGCTCATGCATGTTGAATCTTTAGAGCCACACAAGTTGTGTGCTATGTTGCTATGCGTCCTTGAATCTTGGTTTGACCGTACTGTCCAATGGTCTTGCCAGTATCGTCATGGACATGCATGTACATCGGCCTTCACAGCTAAGACTTTCAGCTTGTGCTTGTCTTGGTTGTGCTCACCTTCCCCTCCTATGTTATCATATAACTAAGAACATTCCAAGTTGGAATGCTGTTGGAGTGCGCATCCAAGACTTGCTAGAGCTAGAGGTGATAGCCAGTTAGTTGTAGAAGGTCAGTACCGTCGGTCAGTGCCGTGCAATGTTATCGCATGAGTTGATTGTCATGTGACACAGGGGTGTTGGACACGCTACGGTCACTACGCTATTGCCCGTATCACTTTTTGCCCCAGGTACCACCCCGTGAACCAATAAAATAAACTGATTTGGACTCTAAATTTCCAAAATTTCGACTCAGCCACCCCTCCCCCACGAGTAACTTGTACTTCAGATGGCTGACCTTACCACACTATAATACCTTCAGATGCCCCTGTAACTGATGGTGTTAGTGGACTTGATAACGTAACTTGTAGTTCCTTGGTGGTTTTTGTGTTTTCTTGGTTTAGCCGACGGTTTCATTTCTGTGTTCTGTAGTGATTGGCCTGTGAAAACAATAATCCAAGTGGATGTCATTGTGTTCTATGTATGTGACTTTTGCAACAGGTTCAAGGCAAGATGCACGTCATGAAGCATTCGGCCCGTGATCTCAGTGTCTGGTAGCTTATGTAGCCGTGGTTGTATGGGTGATCAAAGATGATACTCTGCATATCAATGTAAGTGTGAAGTATTTGTGCTCTGCCCATACAACACAGCAACAACGACAGAGTTACATAGCCAGTGGCTGGCAATGGTGAAGTAATCATATGAATATGTGTTAGTATTCCTGACCTATTGTAAGCAAGTAAGCTCATCATTACTACAAGACTAATAGTATTACTAGCAGCAGACATGACGTCATTCTCCTGTTTACATACCTCTAATATCTGTATGTACAGCTGCAGCAGCAGTGGGTACCATGGCAACACAGTACACACTTTATCTCCCTCCCATGTTCAGTTTTACTGCTCTGCACACACCATCGTGGTGTTGTTGGCGTGTGTTGTGTGGTTTTGTTCTCAGCATCTTCAGCATAGTACACGTAGTGAATCATGTACCGGGTTACTTTCCATCGCCTGCTGCCTCCGCTGCCGTATACGTATCGTTTTTATTGAGATGACGTGAGTTTACCGTGATCAGTGATTTCCCCGTCACCCCGGCTTGCGTGCTGTCATACTGAAAGCTTTCCAATCTATTGAATCTATCCTTTTTGTTCTTGCCTGCAACAGCAATCAACACTCTACCATCTATTTACTGTTGTTTTGTACGTCGCTGCACGTTTGAGCCAGCTATACTGCACTCGTGTGTGTATATGTGTACGGTCTGTCTGAATATCTATAGTCACATGACCAGTGCATGGTTACATCATCAAGAGTACACACAGCTGTACTGTGGTGTCCTGAAGAACGGTTGGGTTAGGTGAAAAACGGACATGCAGGCTGGAATTTCACCCTGGCACAGCATACCAATGTATAGACAGTAACTCAACTGTGCATAAACCATAGTACATGAAAATAGGAATGGTCTAGGCTACTAGTACTACCAGGCTGACCCCCCAGTTCTTTCTAACCCAACAGTACAGTGTAAGTCTGACATCATCTACAAGACTACATGCAGTAGATATCCGCAAAGTTACATGGTGGAATGTACTATGTGTACTGGGGGTAATAAAATAATGACCTCTCCGGAATAGTGCACTCTATTGGGGGTAATACTGCCCTCTCTGGAATGGTGCCCTCTCTTGGGGGTACTAATAATGCCCTCTATTGGGGGTAATAATGCCCTCTCTGGAATGGTGCCCGGGGTGCAGTGCAGACCGTGACTGAATGCTTGAGATCAAGGAAATACATTACAGCTGTATCATGTGTGATGAGGTGATGCAGCATGGCCGCGGTGCAGTGTGGACTGAGAGCAATGGAGTTTCCGCGCGTCTCATCACACCAAGACTAGATAAACTCTTCGTCACAGTCATTAGGAGCAGGAGAGTGCCGGCTACAACTGATCAAGCGTACCACCAGCAAACGTACCACCAGCAACAATGAATGTATTTCAGTTAATGCTGGCATTGGTGTCAATATTGACAAACACGTAGATGTACATCAGCAATGGACTATCAGAGCAGAAGCAGAAGAGCAGTGAACACCATCAGTATAATTATACTGTATATACATATCTATAAGACTATTGTACAGTGTACTCAGCACTTGCTGGTGACAATAACCACATCAACAAAACCAAGAGAATAATCGTGACGGAGAGCTACGTAGTGTGCAACAGTATGAACAGAAGTATTGTCTGCAACATCAGCAGTTGCACTACCAGTAACATCATGTATTCTTGTGTGTATACTTGACTGTGAGGAATTATATCCGTAAATCCTAGAATAACCAGAAAACTGATGATTGAACTGTTTCTTCAGCAGAGTCATGCATGCTACACAATACAATCTGTGAAAACAGTACACACACAAATTACATTGTACTCAAGTGAATTCAATACTCCGTGTAATGTGTGCTGCACGCCCACACACACATACACGCACGCACGCACACACACACACCATTCAGTGGAAGTTGTGCAATCATTGACTGTTGGTTGGTAGATCAAACTTGAACAATACATCAGCTCTGTCCTTGCCTACTCCTTCAGCAACGGCTGGAAGTGATAGAAAGTTTTTAAAGAAGACATTATACATGCACACACACACACACACACACACACACACACACACACACACACACACACACACACACACACACACACACACACACACACACACACGATGCACACAAAGGTGCATGCACAAACACACGTACGCACACACACACACACACACACACACACACATGCACACAAATCGCACAAAAATGTTGGCCTTCTGGAAAGACAGGCAGTTCGTAGGCAGTACGGTCATTCTCGTATTCAAATTCAACACACAAAGAAATGACCTGCATATAGAAAATAGAAAAGAAAAAGGACCAAGGAACTACAAGTTACGCTATGATGTCCACTAACACCACCATTAACCCAGGCCCACGTGTAAACACCCAGGTCTCCGGGCATACCTCTGCATATGCACATGCGCAAGCGCATGTGCACGCACGCGCACACACATTCATGTACACAAACATAATTGCAGACACTCCAACGCCCCGTCTGTGCGTACAACGACGTACTCGTGCACGCACTCACAAGGAATCAGCACATAAGTTGGGAGTTGCCATGACTTCATTTTGATTACTTCAGCAAAGTGATGATAGACCAGTTCCAAGAATGCAAACGATAATATTTGCGTCATATCATCACATACGGTCGTCAGTAATTCACACTACCCGCCGGGGGCAGACGCACGAACAGCCCACCATCATAATAATTATTGTATGTGTGTGGTGTGACGCCTCATGCCAGGCAGTTGTGTGAGTTCTTGGCGTCGGTGGTCGTTCGTTTGCCCTCGCTGGGCAGTATGAGGTCGGCCCTAGCGGGCAGTATGCTTTTGCCCTTGGCGGGCAGGTTGTCGGCCTCGGTGGCTGTTCGTTTGCTCAATAGCCAGTATGATTCAGCCCTCGGCGGGCAGTATATAATCGGTCCACGGTGGGCAGCATTCTTTGGCCCTCGGTGGGTACTACGCTTTATCCCTTGGCGGGAAGTTTGCTGTAGCCCTCGGGGGCAGGCTATTGGCCTTGACGGCCGTTGTGCACCCTCGGTTGGGCGGTATGCTTTAGCCTTCAGTAGGCAGGTTTCTGGCCTCGGCGGCTGTTCGTGCGCCATCCGTTGGGCTATACGCTTATTCTTGCGGTCGGGCTATAATCATGCGCTCTCGGTCGGGCTATAATCATGCGCTCTCGGTCGGGCTATAATCATGCGCTCTCGGTCGGGCTATAATCATGCGCTCTCGGTCGGGATATAATCATGCGCTCTCGGTCGGGCTATAATCATGCGCTCTCGGTCGGGCTATAATCATGCGCTCTCGGTCGGGCTATAATCATGCGCTCTCGGTCGGGCTATAATCATGCGCTCTCGGTCGGGCTATAATCATGCGCTCTCGGTCGGGCTATAATCATGCGCTCTCGGTCGGGCTATAATCATGCGCTCTCGGTCGGGCTATAATCATGCGCTCTCGGTCGGGCTATAATCATGCGCTCTCGGTCGGGCTATAATCATGCGCTCTCGGTCGGGCTATAATCATGCGCTCTCGGTCGGGCTATAATCATGCGCTCTCGGTCGGTCTATAATCATGCGCTCTTGGTCGGGCTATAATCATGCGCTCTCGGTCGGGCTATAATCATGCGCTCTCGGTCGGGCTATAATCATGCGCTCTCGGTAGGGCTATACGCTTCTCTCGCGCCCTCAGTTGGGCAGTATGCTTTAACCCTCGATGGGTAAGCTGTTGGCCTGGGCGGCCGTTCATGCGCCCGCAGCGGGCAGGTTTCTGGCCATGTCGGCCATTTGTGCGCCCTCGGTGGGCAGTATGCTAACGGTCCACAGCGGGCAGGATTACTTAGCCCTCAGTGGCTTGGCTGTTGACCTCCCCAGCCGCTTATGTCACCGGCCCACGGTGGGCAGCTGCAGGCTAGCCCTCATTGGCCAAGAACTCACACAGCTGCCTGGCATGAGGCGTCACACCACACACATACAATATGATGGTGGGCCATTCGTGCGTCTGCCGCCGGTGGGCGGTGCGAATTACTGACGACCGAATGTGATGATATGACGCAAATATTATCGTTTGCTGTCTTGGAACTGGTCTATCATCACATACTATTATATTTAATATATTTAATCAAAATGAAGTCATGGCAACCCCCAAACCTATGTGTTGAGTGCTTGTGAGTGTGTGCGTGAGTACACCGTTGTACTCACAGACGGGACGTAGGAGTGTCTGCAATTATGTTTAAGCACATGAATGTGTGTGTGTGTGTGTGTGTGCGTGCGTGTGTGTGTGTGTGTGTGTGTGTGTGTGTGTGTGTGCGCGTGTGACCTGACTTGCGTGTGTACCCGTGGGCCTGGGTTTAAAGCTAAAACTGCATTTTGACACATGAAGAAATCAACTGCAAAGGAACGCTCCTTCACATCCCGACAATTCAAGAGCTTGAAGAAGACACGTCTTCCGATATGACACCATAACACTAACAGGATGTCTGTACAATTTTGCCAGCTTGTAAATCGTGCAGGGACAGTCACGTGACACACACTCACAGCAATATGCCAATATTGCGCGTGTGCCAGGGCTAACTAGACTTTGCTGTGCAAAGCCTACATGTTACTGAACAATCAGCTCATGCCATAACATTGCACGACACTGACCGACGCTCCTGGCATTCTACAACTAACTGGTTAAAGCACGATGCACAATATCACTTATGCGACGCGATGAGCGACGAGCGATGCGATCAAAATGTTTTTCTGCAAGATTTTGAATCGCACCTCCGTCGCAGGTCGCATCGCGGAAAGTTGAGCCTAGTTCAACTTCTGCGACAAGCGACGAGCGATGCGCATCACTTTCTACACGGCGGGCGCACGTGACAGCTCGCGTACAGTTTTGGACTGTGCATGCCCTGCAACGATGTGCCATGCATTGTGCATCGAAGACTCTTCGTGCGATTCGAAAAAGACTTTTGCTCGACGCTCATCGCATCGCAGAAGTGATAGTGTGCATCGCGTTTTACTACTCCCTGGTACAGACCAGGAAGTAGTAAAATGCTGTTATTTTACTACTCCCTGGTACAGACCAGCTGAGGTGGACGTTTGCTGCAGACTTTATGGTACTGGTCAAGTACACACATCTGTAGATTGAGAGTCTGGCTAGGGTGACTAGTGTATTGTGTGTCTGATCATCATAATTCATCAACAAACAGGTGTACCCGTATTTCATACACTGATCAACACTGTACATCTACTACTGTACAACACATACCTGGGAATATGCTGATGTTCTGCAACGTCTTCCTGCAATCAATCCGAGATGAACTCCAGGACAGTAGAGTTGCTATACCGTAGCCTGGAATTGTACAATGGAGGTCGAAGTTTGTCCATAGAGCATGGGTTCCCGTACAAGTGTACACCCTCCATCCTCATGATGCCTGGTGACTGCAGCATGGCTTGAATGCTATCATCGGTGATCTTGCAGTTAATTAGGCTGATCAATCTCAAGCTTGTGTTCTTCCTCATCATATTCACCAGGGCATGCACTGCGGCATCACCAATCTTATTGCTTGCCATAGACATCCATTCAATACGTGTATGGTGATGGAGAGAGTGTAGGATACTTGCACCAACTTCATCACTCATGCCCGTCCGGCTAAATGAAATGAAGCGCAGCCGGTGGAATCCAGAGAGAAGCTGGCATAGCAATCTGCAATCAGCATGACTGGGCTGTATATCATGAAACACTGGGTTTTGCGGCAGATCCAATGCACTGACATGTGACTGTGGTGATGTCACTGCTTGTAGTACACTTACAACACCAGATAGCTGTATCCTATTGTTGTCCAGACTAAGGTATTTCAGCACTGTGTTGTGAGCAAGGCCAGATGTTGCCAGAGCAGTTGCTCCAGCATCGGTGATGTTACACAGTGCTATGTCCAGTAGGTCTAGGTCAGTGTTGGTTGCAAGGTGCTGACCAAGTGATGACATCATGGAGTCATCAACCTTACAAGGTAGGTCACCACCATGTTCACTGACCAGACGATCAATTGACTCAGTCTCTACTGAAGTACCAGTAGCATAGCGGCTGCCAATGTCGATTACGTCACCACCACATTGACTAGACGTAGCCACTTCCTGTAGAAGACGGATTGTTACACCAGTGCCGCTCAGATAAACCCTGCATGGTGGTAGTGTTGTGCTGACACTCCCAGTGTGCTCACGACTGCGACGAGCTTGCAGAAAGTCAACCACACTAGCGGCTAGCTCATCAGTCAGTCTGTTGTTTTCAAAGAAGAGATGCTGTATGGTATCATGAGAATGGAGACTGGATAGTACACATGACACGTCACTGTTGGAGAGTGAGTTGTCATGCAGCCATAGACTGTCAAGGTGTGGTAACTGTGTGACCAGTGTTGCCAGGTCAGATCCACATCCACTATCCAGTCCACACCATGCCAGTGATAGATCTGTGAGATTGTTACAAGGAGCCAAGTTGCTCACAAATGCTGCCAAACCATCATTGCCAAGTACTGTAGCCCTTGCATTCAGGAACGTTAGACTTGGGTGTTTTACACATCCAGCAAGTGCTGCTCCATCTGCAGATCCACTGGTCAACCTTGTGTTGCTAATGTCAAGAACCTGGAGGGTACGCCGTGTTGATCTAGACAGTGTGCTTGATATGCTTGCCAATGGTGCTGCAGTGAGATTGGCACCACACAAAGTCACCTTGACGCATTTATCCAGTTGGTCAGACAGCAAAATGACACTGTCACCTGACAGATTACAATTGCAGAGATCCAGAGACTTTACATGGTCTACAAGCTCCAAAACAGTATGTAAAGCCATCACATCAACAACTTCAAGGTGGATTGCACTAACATCAATTCCATCACTGGCCAGGAGGTTGGCTGACATAGCATAGCAGCTATGTGTGACTATGTCAGTGTCCTGATTGGGATTACCTAGAGTGCGGTTATGTTGGAGTGAAATGCGGTTTTCCATCAAACATCTCATCATGAACAGAAGCATCTTCTTCTTGCCCTTGACAGTATGATCACTGATGCTGTTTTCAGACTGTAGAGCCAACAATGATGAAAATAGAATGTCTGGCTTTAGTGCTCCAAAGACAAACTGCCAGAAGACAAGTGTGTTCAAGTCTGTGCCGACAGTGTTGATGCACCTGCGGATGATGTCTACGCACGAGTCAGAAGAAATGATGCATCTCGATGCACACCACTCTTGCAGTGTCAAGTGAGTCAAGGACACAGTCTGAGTGGAACCGACGAACGACGGATGCATACCAGGGTTGAGCAGTAAGCCGAGATCTTGACAAATGGACTGGTGGAGGGTTGACAGCGTGGATGTAAAAGTAGCCATGCCCCTTTGATATGTTGCAAGACACATCGTGTAGAGATTGTGCAATGCCTTGACTAGCTCCACAGCATGGTGATCACACTCCTCATCATTGTTGCTTGTCTCCTTCACATAGCGCTCCAAATGATGTTCTATTACCACGGGGATACTGACAAGATCACCACAACTGAAGTGCCGGCCACCACTGCAGTGACTGATGACGTCATGTGCAAGCCGTACTTGACCAAACTTCCCTTCTCGCCGCTTTTCCAGCTTTGCGACTGAGGAGCGTAAGTAGTGGTCATAGAAAAGTGTCACACTGGAGGGTAGAGAGTTGTTGATGGGATATTGCTGAACGAGCAGAGCACATAGGAGTGGAGATTGTTGAATGGCTTCCTTCAGCAGACAGTTGTTCCGTTGGGAAAGCTCTTCCATACACTTCTTGGCAACCTCCTCTCCGAGCTGTCGTGAGCAGTACGCAAAGAGCTGGTCTGCCGAGAAGCCGAGGAGTCGAAAACGTAAGCGGAAATGCTGTATGTGCTGATACGCTTTATCAGATGGTCGGCTAGTTGCGATTACAATAGCATCAGGTAGTAGTGAATAGTAACTGCTGCTGCTCCTCAATATTACAGCTTGGGCTGCTGATCCTTTGCCAAACCCACCACTGCCAAGTTCGTCGATGCCATCAATAACGATCAATACCTGGTCGGAATGCTCAGAGAGGTAATTGAGCAGTATAGATTGCTCCTGTGTACTGATGCCCAACTGGTCCAAACCAAGAAATACACACCAATCAGTTGACTGCATACGTTTCAAATCACGGCATGGCACGTAGAAAATGAATTCAATCTTTGCCAGATTCCCAGTTGTTGTCTCCATGATGTCGGCAATGACTCGTTTGCTCAGTGTTGTCTTTCCCTGCCCAGCGTTGCCAATTACAATGCAACTTTCCAGAATGTCTGTGTCAACTGTGTCATCACCACCACCAACACCAACACCACTTTTGCCACCGCTTGTTACACCTTCATAATAATGGGGATCAGACAAGAGCTGCTTAGCGCTGGACAGAACAAACTGCCTTCCTCCTTCCACTTTGTCACTCTTATCTTGTTTTGCTCCTGGGATAGCAACGCCTGGTGTACGGTCAGATATTGGCTGTCTTCCAGTGACACGGCGAGTTGCAGCTTGTTGCGCACGATACGTCAGCTGCAGAGCATCTTTCTCCGTCAGAGCCTGCATGGGCACGAAGCAATCCTTGACATCGCCGGACAAGCAAGTTAGATCTGAATGATCAGCGGTGGTCTTGCACAGATGTGTATTCACTCTGTGCAGATGTTGTTTAAGACGTTGAATGTGCCCACCATTGTCTGCTCCATCATCATTCACTGCCAGTGTATTACATGTCACTGTGCCATCGTTAGCTGTGTTGCTGGCTGCACGCATAGTAGCAACATGAACTGTGGTGAAACACAGGACAGGAAAGAGGAAAAAGAACAAATTGTTTGATGGTATATCATTGTACAGATGTACTGTGATGATATGTTGACAAGTATATTCCTAAATGTAGATAGTGTGTGTGTGTGTGTGTATGTGTGTGTGTGTGTGTGTATGTGTGTGTGTGTGTATGTGTGTGTGTGTGTGTTTGTGTGTGCCTCTGTGTGTGTGTGTGTGTGTGTGTGTGCCTCTGTGTGTGTGTGTGTGTGTGTGTGTGTGTATGTGTGTGTGTGTGTGTGTGTGTGCCTCTGTGTGTGTGTGTGTGTGTGTGTGTGTGTGTGCGCGTATGTGTGCGTGTGTGTGTGGGGGGGGGGGGGTGTGCGTGTGTGTGTGTGGGGGGGGGGGGTGTCTGTGCGTGCGTGTTTGTGTGTGTCTGTGTGAACCACGGATTGTACTCTTTACATACACACATACATAAGAACTGAACTGAAAGGCGTCAACAAAAGAAATTAATACGTGAGTAATCTCGATTGACGCTGTGTACAGCTTTGTTGTAAAATATTTTCAAAGTTTGCCAGTATCACTGGTCGATACTCCGCAGCTGCATTTCACAAAGTCCAACAAAATAAACAGGGCAGGGTTTTCTTGAAAAACTGTTCTCCATGTTCTGTGTGGAGCATTGTCGTGCTCAGGCATGCACTGCCGAAAATGTAGCAAAGCTGCTAGATTCTGGTTTGGTGGGAGGTGCGAAAATGCATCTAGGATTCTCGTTATAGATCCAGGTTGACGTCTTATTTCGTATTGTGTTTCGGCAGGTGGGTCTCTTCAGTTCACCTGGGTGGGCCAGCGTCCGATCTTGGTGAACCACAGTCTGTCTGGTGGGCTGGAGGGGTGGAAGGATCATGCTCATATTTAAATCGGTTTGCCTTGCGGGTGTTGTGGGTTCTGGGTGTTGCTGGTTGTCACATGTGCGTCACAATAAGTGCCTGACGGTTTTGGTTTTTTGCTTTGCAAGCGGATGTACTAAATGTTTCCGGTGTTATTATGGTGTTATCCCTGTGGTTGTCAGGGTGGAGCCCTGGGGCTATTCAGGGTAGCGCCGTGTGATTTTTTCTTTAATGTCTTTTTGCGTATTGGTAACCGATTTGTTTGTGTGGTATCTGGTGTCTTCACTGATTAATCGCTCCTGTTTCTGTAGACGTGTTCTTCCTTGCTATTATTCCATTCCTTCGTGTGGTTTTCTTTTCTGATTATTGGCGATGGTTGAGATGTTTGTGTTAGTCTGTGTTTCTTTCTGTGTCCGTCTTTGTGTCTCTGTGAGTTTTTGTAACCCCATCTGCTGTGTGGTGGTTTTTCGGTCAACCCTCCAGTGTGCGTCCTGTGCTGCAAGATGCCTGGATACCCAGTTCTGCTGCCACTGTCTTCTCGGTCCGTGAGTGCCGTCGGTCTCGCCGCTCCCGGCAGCGTCGCGGAGACCAGCGTGCGGCTACTCGTCACGTGTCCAACAATTGTGGTCATACATGTTGTGTTTTATTCTCGCATTTTTATGCTCATTCACAATTTCATTTCTTTCCTCTTTCTGTCTTCTCCGATCCGTCTTCTTCAATTTTTTGGGCTTCATTTGTTTCGCTTTCATCCTCAGGAGAGGATGTCTTTTTTCGGTGGGGGATAGAGTTGTACACGCTGCTGAATCGTGGAACACGCTGCTGAATCGTGGTACACGCTGCTGAATCGTGGTACACGCTGCTGAATCGTGGTACACGCTGCTGAATCGTGGTACACGCTGCTGCGCTTTTGCAACAGGTGTGTACTCACATGCATAACGTCTAGTTCACATTCGACGGAACGCTGATGGTACGGGACGTAAGGCCTGTCGGGAAGGCTGGGATGAACTGTAAAATCTTGTACGATTCGTACGACACGACATGCTGCAGTCGTTTCGTCGTTCAGCAGCGAACGACGCCAGTCATAAGGCCCGGCCCATGACAGGGTGACCTTTGGCCCTATTTTCTTATTTTCGGTATTTCTTTTCAATTATTTCTCCTTGAATGAAGCGGAATCAAGTTCACAATACCAGTATTTCATGAACACCAAAAATGTAGCATCGAAAGGCGTGCCATTCAAATTATAGCTCCAGGGAATGATAAAACAGTTCGTCTGCCACGCTCCTGAACTATCCCTAAATACCATGATAAGTGACACCAGACCGTATCTTGCAAAACTTCAACTCAAGTCGTGTTAGCCATTCTGCGAGTTATCATGGGAAGCATAGTGTTCGAAATGCTAAAAATTTCCAAAGTACGAATCGGGAGTAGTCGGCGCACAACGCCGTCTCCTGTTCACACTCAAAATGCAGCTGTTTTGTACACTTGCATCCCCGTCTACGCCCGTCTACGGTATGAAAAGTTGGATCGATCAAACTCTTCCCGTCGCTTCCCGATCTGTACGGCAGTACGGCTGCGTTCCCGTTCCTGGTGTTCACATTGGACGCCGTCAGACTGTCCCATCGCTTCTCGTTGATCCTTACGTCACGTCCCGTCGTGCCCCGTCGAATGTGAACTAGGCTTTATAGTCACCCGCTCTGTACACACTTCTCGCACTGGTCCCCATTGGGACAGCATTGTATCGCTTACCCGTGCACATTTTGTGCTGATAAGCGCACCACTTTTGCCCTGATGAGTGCACCACTTTCCTGGATAATATTCACTTGTCAGTAGTCATACGTCAGTTGCCCAGACGTCTCCTTAGAGAAAGAAAAAAGTATTCTCTCCTACTGCACAGCTGGCCTTCTGTTGCGTATCGCGGCCGCAAGAGGGGTACAGTTCGGTTTTAGCTACAGTCCATTCAGAAAAAAGATGAGCGCTGGCCCCGGAGAGCACTCGTGCTTGGTGATTTCGCCAGTGACGCGAGATTCGAAACTTGAAAAGGGTCCACAAAAGGTACCTCAACTGGGGTTTGAACCTCAAATGCACTGTTCTGCAAGTGGAGTGCACGGGTTGGATTTTCATGGTTTTCCCCAATTCAGTGCTTTGGGGGCAAAACCCGGCCGAAATCCTATTCTTGTTATGGCTTGCTTTTTGGAGAAATAGACTTCAAAAACACAATTGGAAGTGGATTCCATGGGGATTGCCAAAAAAATTGAGAAAAAACTCAAAATTTGACCCATTTCTGGCCAAAAGCTAGGATATCATCTTTTTCTGAATGTACTGTAGACTATACTTTGGTGTAATGAGTTTAATTCTGCTGGTAAGGTACAAAACTAAAATTTCCCTTCACAGCAGAAGTTTGATTGATGGCAATGTTTAAATTGGGGACGTTCAGACTGTAAGGGGTATACCCACACCCCCAACACCATTCTTGTGACCATCCCCATTCTGGACATATCAATTACCTGTCTCGTGAGAGGATGTCTTGGCCGTTGGTGGCTGGTCAACGGGCAACAGGAGAAGCATTTCTTGGTACAATTCATCATACAATGGACCCAAGTCATGGATTACATTGCAGAGTAGTTTATAAGCACCTGTGCGCCCAGGACTTATAAGACTGATGATGTGAGAATTATGCGCTTCCTTTCCTTTGTTGTTCTCCAGATGCTCCAATGTCTCAATTTGTTTTCTTCTTGTGAACGCACCTTTGTCCTGCATAGAATGTCGAAAGCTCGTTGCATCCAATTCATAAATCCAGGGTAAGATATGGGAAATGAACTTGGGATCATCAAATGGTCCGTCTAAAGAACACGAAAAGACAAAACAAATATACAGGAATGTCGAACTAATTGAAACAGCATGGACAGATAATCATTAGCAATTTTGAGACAGTATCCTGGACAACCAATCACCATGACAACCGGGTCATGTTTGGACACCTCAACATCATGTACCCTCCCAACCCCCCCCCCCCCCCCCCCCGCCATCCCTTCCTTAGCATACTCAAGCTCGACTGATGTGGAGCGACCTCCCTGGAAAACTGTACTTTAAGTATGGAGCCATGTTTTCTTGCAGGTTTGCAAAGTGAAACATTTGATGGATGTTTTGTTTATGGACGGCTCTGCGGGATGGTAGTCAAATACAGTCAAATGAAAAGTCAAGTTGGCAGGTCCCCTGTTCTATTTGTGGTGATATCTCGAGGCAGCTTTTCGGGATGTAAGGAGCACTGCTACTGCCAGGGCTCGGCCATCATCGGATTTCGGCTTGCCATTTGAAATTGCGTACAGCGGCTCAACGGATGTAAGCAACAAATATTCTATAATGGGTTTGGTTCTCTATAAGGCATCTGCATTCTATAGCCTGTCTGCTTTAGATAGGAGTTTTGTTTCTTGTTTGCTCTTGTAATCGCATGTAACCAAAGGCTTGTTGCTAAGATACTGCACATTCAATTATGGTGGACTGCTGGTCTGACTTACTGTTAGACATTTTGAAGTACTTTCAGGACGATGATAAACTGGTTATTGTAGCACGGTTCATACACTCTTCACTGCAGTCATGGTCTGTGTAGCTTTCTGCACATACACACAGACACACAAACACACACACACGCACACGCACACGCACACACACACACACACACACAAACACATACACGGACACACAAACACACACACACGGACACACGCACGAATACACAACTGAATTTGAGATAGGCCACTGCTGGTGCTGTTGTTTCTTCAAACCGGTATGCCCAGTTTTCATTGAACAAGTTCCCAGGAATACAGAAGCTAGCAATGGTAGTCATGGCTCTGCAATACAACTCACCGCTATCATCGGGAGATGAAAGCAGCTGCTAGGCGTTGAACAGCTGGATTATGTGATTACCAGAAACTCAGCTTGGCTAGTCATCCAGGTCACTCCCAACATTCAATAGTTGACAATGCCTCATTCACTGCAGTGATCAGTTCCTTTCCTTGCTACGCTGTCGCAACCTTTACATCTGCCGGTACAGTGTGTAAGGTGCACACGTTTGTTGTGGTGTCTGAAAGAAGGAAAGAGAGAATAGAAGTCAGGTTTTAAAGTACTGATAATATTCAGAAGAGAATGTATCATGAATCATGGATGAGCAGCCTATGCTCATTCTTAGTCACTAACTACACTGTAATGGCTTTACATGTGTCTTCACTTAACACTCTACTATACTGATACAGGTTATCAACTTACACACAGTGTATAGTAGTAGACACGGGCGTATGCCAATGCTCCACTGCAAGACCGACAACCAACTGCACAAGAGGTCGCCCTCCTGGCAAGCCTGAGCTCCTCGCAGCTCAATAGCAACAGCGAGCCGGAATCCACAAATTTGCATGGCACAGCTAGTGGGCAGGGGGCTGCAACACCCCCAATCCCGCCAGCTGACCAACGACTCAGACTCGGTGAGCTGAGCCCGAGGACACAGCGCAGGTCATATCTGCAGCGTACGAGGAAATCGTACACTTCCGGCCTAACCTGTTCTCCATCCCATCGGGTGCACATGTCAGGTCAGTGGGGGACTTGAGCGCTCGCTACCTCAACACGTTCTGAACAAACGCAGCGGGAGAAGGCATAGCCTTGAAGCCTCAATTATGGTCTGCCACAATCTTCTACTGCAACAACCGGTCAACTGCTTGACACGCAAGGTGCATGTGGAATGTCTGAACCGACGAATGCAACTTTGGAACGAGGGAAACATCGATGAGCTTGTCCGGGAGGCACGTACCATCCAGCGCCAACTAACCAAGGAACGTGGCGGGAAACGGGCCCAAAGTCCAGATGACGCGCGACGTTTCACTACCCTCATCACAAATGGTGAACTGGGTGCAGATCTCCAGTCCCTGACAGCAACACCTTCGGGTGGGCTGCTAAATCTGGACTCCTCCACTGTTGGTAAAACCGTGAGACAAACGCTGAAAGAGAAGCACCTGCCGGCGGAACCCATGCATGCAGATGCCCTCATCATCGGCCCCTGCCCCGAACTGCCGCACCCGGTGCTGTTCGAAGCTCTGAACAGAGACATCATTCGGCAATCGGTGCTACGGCCCATCCGCCATGGATTCTACCAGCTGGAAACGTTTGTGCACCTCGTTTGGAGCGTCCTCGGACCAGGTATGTGATAGCTTCGCCGCCTGTGCTAAGCGCATCGCCACCGGAATCATCAACCCAATCCCCCTCAAGCCATTCATAGCATGCCACTTGGTGCCTCTGGATAAGAAGTCCGGGGTGCGCCCAATTGGCATAAATGAAGTCCTCAGAAGGATAGTAGGCAAAGCCATCCTCACCATCATCGGAGGGCAGATCCAACAGGCGGTCGGGTCGCTTCAGCTGTGTGGCGGCCAAGAATGTGGAGTGAAAGGAGCAATACACGCAATGCGGCATCTGTGGAACGAGGAAGACACCGAAGCAGTCCTCCTAGCAGACGCGAGCAATGCGTTCAACAGGCTGAACCGCAGTGTATGCTTGCACAACATCCGGCACCTCTGTCCGGCCATCGCGGGTGCCGTCACCAACACCTACCGGCATCCCGCACAGTTGTTCGTCGATGGGGATTGTCTTCTTTCTGAGGAGGGCACCACCCAGGGAGACCCGATGGCAATGCCCATGTATGCCATTGAGCTCCTCCCACTCATGCAGAAGGCGGCGAGCAGCTCAGCCGACAAGAAGCAGGAGCCGTACTCTGCCACAATCTCGTACATCCGAGGCAAGCGAAGCTTAACCCTCATCCGTGCTGCTGGTGCCAGTCTGCGAGGCCATTGGCACTGAGTATCCTCAGATGCAAACGACTCGGCCCGATGTGCGGTTGCCATGAGCAGCATCGGTTAGGTTCTTTTGAGAGTCATTAAAATCTCTACTAGACTGTGTTCACAGCCATGGCATTTTTTAACTCCCTCCCGAGGCTCCGTATTAGACTGTTTTCACAGCCATTTTTGCTCTCTCGACTATGTTCACAGCCATTTTTTGCTCTTTTTCTTCCTGTACTGTTGAGGTTGCGCTTGTGTTTATTTATTTTCATGAAAAATTGACTTGAAGTGACTTGCAGAAGACGGGTACGACGAAAAAATTCGAATTACACGGAATGTTTGAATTATACCGTATTCGAATTAGAGGTAGTCCACGTGTAGTAACAACATACTTCACTTATTGAATGGGCAAGAAGGTAAAACTACCATTACAACTTCTGGCAAGAGTAAATAAGCTCCCATGAGCTTATATACTCTTGCTTCTGGTGTGGAGAAATAGAATCAGGTAATAGAGGAAGCAAGTGTAATGGACAGTGGTAGCTTCACAAACAGGATAGTAGCAGAGGGCTGCCACTTTTCTGTTGGCAGAAATCAGAAGCAGGTGTTCAATGGCAGGGAGTCGAAGGGACAGCGACCCTTTTAGAAGCCGTAACATTTTTAGGATTTCAATGGCCCGAAAGAACAAATTAGTACACTTTCGCGAACAATCGTTTCGGTCGCTTTTTCGGAACAACTGATCTGAGTGTTTCCAGAAAATCGGAATAGAACAAGTCGAGGCCCTGACGATATAGATAGCCCTCCGTCCTGGCACATTTAAGTACATGTAACATGGTTAACTATGATCAACTAGTGACAGCGAGTGGAAGGCAAAAAAATCAGACAAACGGTGGCAAAGTTATGATACTTTTAGTGGCATGGGCCAGGGGTGTAGGAAGCAGATTTCAAATGGTCCGGCGGATTTTTGGCTCATACAGGTCGCAATTTTTTAAATTTTTAACTCCACCCAGTATGACTACTTTAGTATTCACTTTGTCTTGGGGGTTAGGCATGGGGAAGTTGCCATACAGGGGTGGTGAGCCCGCCTATTGACACCGGGAATACAGCTCACTCGACTCTGTCTCTACTGAATGAAGAGGGTGATTTTACTTGTAAAAGGATTGATATGAACAAATACTGTGGTATCATGAAAGACTTGAGGTTTTAAAACTGTCTGAATTGGGAGAGCTGATGCTCACTTCCACATTCAAATTCACTCTTCAGGCACTAGACGTCCAGCAGTTTCTTGTGGACATTCACGAACATCAGGAGTCATGTTTGAGTCTTTCCTGGCCGGTTGTACTGTGTCGGACTTGACCCTCCGCATGGTTGAAAACGAGCTTGTTGCCTTTTTTTCTTCTTTTTTTTGGCGAAACATCGATGGCCGCCGGACCTGCCGGACCTGTTCCTATGCCCCTGTGGGTACAGCATAAACGTTGGCCTATGTCGAACATTTTGAGGTGGATGCTTGAGCACCCAAAGCACCCCCCTCCCTCCCCCCCCCCCCCCCCCCCCCTGGGTACACCACTGGTATGAACTGAGCCTGTAGAATCTATTTAAAGTCCTGCACAGCTTGATAAGAGTTCAAACTTTATATCTTGCATAGCACTGTAAAAAATATTTCAGTACCTAATCCTTTAAGGGAAAATTCTGCATTGCCATACCAACCAATTGTCTCCGGTCTTGCAGTACAACACATCCTTTCCCCTTCAACAACTGTCTCTGGTCTTGCAGTACATTAACATATCCTTTCCCCTTCAACAACTGTCTCTGGTCTAAACTAGCATCTAGTTACCGCCTGAACACATCTACAGTCTCGATCTCAAGCAAACTGTTTGACTCATGAACTTAGCTGGCAAGCATGCCACACAGTTCACAAACTCACTGTCATAGAGGATGGATAAGGTAATCGCTAGTTGGTGATCAGTGGAATGGTGTGCTTTCTAACCGTGCCTGTGTTGTATGTTTGTGCTGTGGTTCAGCAACTGTTGATCCAGGACTGAAACTTACAAGAATTGACAATCAGGCTTCATTCACTGCACGTCAGTTCTTGGCTAGCAATGTTGACAGTTAGCGTCAGACCATAGTACCAGCAATACTTGCACACGGCCGGCCGTCGCACTGAAATTGGTATCTGAAGAAAGCAAGAAAAATGGAGCATGAACGTCTTTCAAACAATGGATCTGCACATTCTAAGCCCCAACCCCCCCCCCCCCCCCCCCCCCCTCCACACACACACACTCACATGCACATACATCAAAGTCCAAATTTTATAACTCCCATTGGCCTGCTCAAGCTTGTAAGTAGTACATTCTACTTTGCTTGATTTGTTCCTCAACACATATCTTGTGGTGCTGTGGAGAATCCAGTTTTGTTGCTGCTTGTGTGGATAAACAGTATGCACAAAGCAGAGAGTAGTAAAATACTACTATATTACTACTCCCTGTCACAAAACATTACAATCATGTATTGACACCGCTCCACTGCAGACAGGTACTAGCCTACTTGTACAGTATGCACAAAGCAGAGAGTAGTAAAATACTACTATATTACTACTCCCTGTCACAAAGCATTGCAATCATGTATTGACACCACTCCACTGCAGACAGGTACTAGCCTACTTCTACCTACTGTACATCTACACACTCTCAGAAATTTAAAGGCGACGAGGAGACAATAACTTTATTAATGCGATTAATAGTATTAGTGAAGCGGACATTACAAAATGATGAATGAGAATACATGTATCTAAAATGGTTGTTCCTAATCGATTTTCTTGAGACTATCATCAGGGAAAATCGTCTCACATTAGAGGCTATACGGAGAAACAAACTACTTATAGGTTATCGGATAGTGGGAAGTATACAAGGTGAGGTGTGAAAAAAAAACTAAAGTGGGAGAGAAGACGAAAGAAATTAGATCTTTTCTTCTAATTTCTTTCGTCTTCTCTCCCACTTTAGTTTTTTTTCACACCTCACCTTGTATACTTCCCACTATCCGATAACCTATAAGTAGTTTGTTTCTCCATATAGCCTCTATTGTGAGACGATTTTCCCTGATGATAGTCTCAAGAAAATCGATTAGGAACAACCATTTTAGATACATATATTCTCATTCATCATTTTGTAATGTCCTCTTCACTAATACTATTAATCGCATTAATCTCAGAAATTTCCTTGACCATTTTGAAAACACCCACCAGTACGCTAGTATCCGAAGCATAAGCGCCACTGCAGTATAAGCCAGACCCACCCCCTCCCCCATTTTTGCCACGGAATACACTTATCTACCCTTTTTATCACTGTTAATTTGATCATCGGAGTACAAGCCGCATTCCCTTTTTTGAGTGAATTTTGAGCGTTCAAAGTGTGGCTTATACTCCTGAAAATACGCTACATTTGGAAATATTGTGGATAGGTAAACAGTCACTGTTCGTTCTGCAGAGTTGCACGTGTGATGAACGGACAGTGTACAATTCTGTCTCTCCAACCAAGATCGGAAATTTGAGTGTTTTGGCACCCAAAGCACCCCCCCCCCCCCCCCCCCCCAATCCCTGCTCATGCCCCTGGATTTGTTTGGATTGAATCCAGAAACTCTCCAAGAGCAACCAGCATGCATGTTTTAGCAGTGAGACATGAAGCATCTCTGAAACTCACCGTGCTACTGACGCTGGCAGAGGGGCGAAATCAGTCAGCTTTCAAAGTTTCGCTAAGCCGCGGTGGCGAATTGGAGTAATGCGCATGCGCATGCTCCGCACAGTCTAAGCCGCGGTGATCAGCTGAAGTGAAGGGTGCGCTAGCTCAAGTTTCCACTCAACTGACTCGGACGGTCGGACGAATTGCTGAATGAAGTATTGGTGAGCGATGGTGTCTGCGCAAGGAACGTTAGCTACACTTACAGAGCACGCCTTCAACGTTTTCAAACAGTGGCTGGGCTTCTACAAATTGGTTCTAGAACTAGTAGAAGTCACTGAGTCTGAGCTACTAGCCTAGCCTAGCATACAGCGAAATGAGTTCCTAATTCTGCGGTGGACTGAAGATGGGCGACTGGTACTCTTACTAAGTCTCCTAGTCTTACGGTGGCAACTACGCCTGTGTTTGATTTTACCTTCTTGACAAACCGTTGAAACGTTGAACACAAACTAATACTAATACTTGCTCCTTCTCGGTCGGGAGCATCTACTGAGTACTGTACAGCGGACTGGTCGATTACAAGAACGGACCAAGACAGATAACTAAAAAAAACTATCTCGGACCAGCTCCAAGGCAAGAGACAAATCGATTGAAGCCCGGGGCCGTGTATATCTACATGGTGTACAAAGTCAATGTCACGTAGCCTACTGTCTGTCGACTACTCACTGTGTCTTCATCGCTTTTTTCAGTGGCGCGTGATCTCCACCACAGAATGCCCAGCGCGCTAGCGATCGTCGACAGGCTTGGCCGTTCCTAATCCTAGTGCCACTCATGTCATGTAGCGTAGGTAGTCATGGTAGTCGACCCAGTCGGACCTACCCGTCACCCGTCCCGCGTTAGTCACATGAGCGGCACTAGGATTTAGGAATGACACTGACAGCCATGCCAAGCCTGTCGACGATCGCGTGGTAGCCATGGTAGCATGGCACTGATGCGGGTCAGTCTGTGCCTCTGTGGTCGAGATCACTCGCCACGGAAAAAACGATCAAGCCGCGGCCGCGCCAGACAACCGGCTCCAGCCTCCGATCCAGCCGACCTCGTCGAGGTTGCACTCAGCTCAACCCAACCATGTACCTGATGTACTGTAAAGCGACACGCTTTCGCGGCGCAATTTTAGCGTTTTCATAAATTGGGCTGGTTCACGGTGCGAAACTTTTGCGATTCTATCTCTTCAGTCGGATCTTGTACTGTCTACGATCAATGTACGGAGAGATTTGCGGCGATTTATACATGTGTTTGCGAATGTGTGATGGTCACGAAAATAGCGAAATTTAATCTCTAGCGAAAGTTTCTCACTTTACAGTAGCAGGTCAGGGTCAGGGTCAGGTCGCTTTCACGCCTTCCTACCTCATTAGTCATCATGTAACTATCAAGCAAGGCTTCTGTATAATTATAGTACTCATGTAGATGTGCAGTCTAGTCGTGGCCAAAACATGCGGCCTACACTATGCTACATGACTTAGTCTTAGTCCGTTAGTTGATACCATCTTAGTCTTATCATAAGGCATAACTAAACATTTTATACTTGTATATAAAGACACCTCCGACTACACCCTCAGAACACATACCGGTAACCATGGTAACCCAAGAGTTACATGACATTGTCCCATGTGTAACTCTAAACTCGCCTAGCATAATGAGGGTCAGAAGAACCCGGTTCAACACCCATTATTTATGGTTCAGATGGTTCCAATGGACCGGAGCTCTGCCAACCATGGATGGTTGTAGTAAGGTCACTGGTTTCCCAACACAGTGTCCTCCACCTTGTTTCATGCTGTCAAGAGCTAACAACAATGACGTCTAGCTGTAGACGTAGAGAGGCATACAGGTATTGTCACTGAGGTACATTTACATCTACATGAGCACGATGATTGTAGAATTATTCTTCATATGTGTATTTTCACCATAAACCAGTCTCTTGACTTCAGTGCCTGTCACAGTGTCTCTCACAGTAGATCTACGTGTAGTGTCAATGGTTCCCATGGTCACTGGCATCATGGCATGTACCGGTATTTTTTTTTTTTTTTTGTTCTGTTTTACTATTGACACGTATACGGTATCAGGGGCGTGCTTGGCGCGGGGCACAGGGGGCAAGCGCACCCCCAAAATATTTCAACCGGGGTATTGAAAAGTCACCAATGTATTGCGGAAAACCCGACTTCTCACGGGAGCACATGCTGCACCTGTGTCTTGTACATTGTACTAGTAGTTAGTTGTAGTGAAGTAGGGGCTGTTCTTTCGACGACGCTCTCCTCGCCGAATCCTGTCCAGATACGTCAACTAGTGTGACGATTGTTCTTAGCTATATCCGTGCAATGTGTGTTTGCATCGGCCTGCCTGGCACAGACTCAGTGCCGTCGACCGATTGGTTTTTAAACATTTGCAAAGTTTCCATCCTTTATTTTGAAAAAATTGATATGATGCTGTACTGTGTTCATTGTTGATGACATACAATCTTTGTAACAGTAATAATGACGTCACATGTACAAATATCTGATGATGTCACCGGTACAACCTTTTGAAAATTGCTGTTGTCTGGAAGTGGTGCACCCCCCTGGAAGGAGAGCCGAGCACGCGCCTGGGTATACACACCTTGATCTTGCCCATTGCGTACGCAATGATAGCGAATGTCGGAAAGTTCAAGTGAGAACACGAGCGCAGAACTTGGCATGTCGTTTCAGGTCTCCTGGTCGACGAAATGGGCGTCCACAGACACATAGAAGAGGATCCGGAGCGGGCCGTGGTGGTGGAGTGCTACTCGCAACTCGTCTCCAGCCGGGATGATCTTGGCAACTCTCAAGCCAGGTGGTCACGCCGAGGTCTGCCAGGTCAGTCGACACCACATCTCGCCATCTCTTCTTCGGGCTGTGACGAGGACGGGGGCAAGCAGCTCACCGAACAGCAATTGCTTCGGTGCGCGTGAGTCGTCCATCCTGCCGACGTGACCCAGCCAACGAAGCCGGTGGCGACGGATGATGCGGGATACACACACATGCACACACACACACACATGCACACACATGCACACACACACTCATGCACCTTTGGACCTTTGGAAAGCCTCTTGGTTGGGGCTGGCTTGGTGGCTTCCGACGGCTACGTTCGCGCCAGTCCCTCCAGTCCTGACCGCACATGCACACACACACACACACACACACACGCGCGCGCACACACACACATGCACGCACACACACACACACACACACACACACACGCACACACACACATACCTTGGAAAGTGTTGTGAGTATGTATGGGTATTAAACGTGGGTGTATGGGTACAGTGGATGTATGGAGCTGTGCCAAGATGTACGCAGTAACTAATGGATGGGACAGAGGCATTGTACAGATCCCGTGCATTTAGCACTTACCATCGACCATGAGTTACAAACCTGTCGTCGTTGTCTGTTATTTTTGTTTTATTTTTTAATCTTTCGAATAGATCCCGTGCATTGAGCACCTAGCATCGAACATGAGTTATGTGCTTATCGCCTGCTGTCTTACATTTTTTTTCCCTCTCTGCCCACTCTGCCTGTCTTCTGGCACATGCGAATCCGTGGACTTACTGCTGACGTAAACGCAGACGTTCTGTTTTACTATTGACACGTATACACACACATGCACACACACAAACACACGCACACGCGCACGCGCGCACACACACACACGCACACAGGTCATTGTTGCTAGCTTGACAGCATGAAACAAGGTGGAGGACACTGTGTTTGGAAACAGCAGTGCGATGTTGCTGCTTTGCCACAGTGACATGACTACTACTTTCGTAACACTGTTTGTTCCGTTTGCCACTTAATACAAACTGTTTGCCGTTCAAATCTCAATATAAACTGTTCGCTACTCAATTCAAAACCAGCACTGGTTTCCACAGCATGTCCTCCATACAAAGCACATGGGATGACATCATGCACTCCATACAAAAGCACATGTGATGACATCACTCACGTAACCTGTAGATAACCAGTAGCAGCAGCAGCGTACGGGTATCAGCAAAACAGAACAGGAACGTACGCCTAAAATTGATTGTCCTTGACAAATTGCTTGACAGAGTCTACTTGGGCGTCAGAAATACGTCCATTGCTCTGCAGTACAGCCATCACCTCGGCAACAGTGAAGATACTGTGCATGCGTACGCCAGTGTCCAGTAGCTTTTGTCGGCCACCCTGCTGTCGGTCCAACAGAACTGCGGCGTCAGCTGAAGTGAAGGGTGCGCTAACTCACACCAGCGTGTGTTGAGTCTTGATGCGGGATTGAAACTGGCGACGACTTGGTGACTTTTCGCCGTCACTGCTCATCCGCAGTTCTCTGCTTGGAATGTTGCAAAGTAGAGTCAGAGTGCTGTGTGATGTTCACAAGTGCGCTGTCGAGTCTGAGAAAAGGGAAGAGAGAATACAAATCATTTATCAGTACAATCGTGTTTCGAACCAAATGTTCCACGGATCATGGCAGTGGTGTAGGAATCAGGGCGGGGGGGGGGGGGCAAGGGGGGAGCCAGCCGCCCCCCCCCCCCCCCCCTCCCCTAACCTTTTGGTGGATGTGGGGCCAAAGGCCCTAAACTTGATGAACACGCAAGTGAGGATCATGCATGCAGTGCAGATCAGTCAGTGGTCATGCACTCAGATCAATCGTAGTCAGAGCTGACCCTGCAGTCATTCATGTACATGTATGTACATAATCATTTCTCTGTCCACCCTGCACTCCACTCGTTTTGCACACATCCGCACATTCACTCATACGTGTACACCACTATTGAACACGTCCATATTGCCAGTGGGTGCCACCACCGCACATCGCCCCAACTTATCGTCTTTGCACACAGTTCCGTGGTCAGGACTATACAAAACCATTGCTTAGTCCAACAAAAAACTCCCAACACGTTAGACCATTAGGCCACACGTTTTTATTTCTATGTTTCTCGTCACCCGCGCGCGCGCATACGATTCAGGAGTCTGGAGGAAAAAATAAAAACATGTGCTGCACTGACCGTGCATGTGGGGACCAGCACACTCATGCACATGGACATAATGTGGCCTGGCCTGCGCGACACATGATACGAGGTCGCCATTTTTTTGTGCGCAATCTAGCTGCACATGCACAGATTGTGACAGAAGCTCCTACCACATACTAGGTGTTAACTATGGATGCTATTTTGCATGGTGTATTTGTGGATTTTAGTGTCAACAAAGGTCTAATAAACTTTTTTTATTTTTCGGTCATTTAAATTTTTTCCACCTCTCGCATACGTTTTTCGATTTTCAGGTGACGAGAAACATAGAAATATAAACGTGTGGCCTTATGCATCCACACAACTCTAGAAGAATATAAGCGATGATATTATATATATTCTGAAATTACATGATGATTACTGGGGTGGGCACTCTCACTCAACTCTCCGCACAAAGACAAAAGAAGTCGACCCTGCACTCGTCACCTCCTTTTATCCCACACCGTGCTCCCTCGTACCCATTCCCGGGTGGACAGAGAACACTACTTCTCTGCTAATTCTTATACTGTGACGTCATCCACAGAGAAGTGACATCACTACAGTCATAAGTCTCCACTTTTTCAGATCTAAAAGAATGTGCGTGTCACCGGCGTGAAGCACACTCACTAGATCATCCCTTGGTTGTTTTTGCATCGTAGCAGCTAATGAAGCCTTGTTTTTCATGGGCAGTTTTCTTCAAAATCGGAAAGGCAAGAGTACTTTCCTTTAGTCGGAGTCAGTGCTTCTCATTGCTATACCACAGCGTTCTGAAGAAAGTCACTTTCCAGAAAAAATTTCGTGACTGACTGTTATAAGCACAGTAGTTCTCGGAGAGCGAAGATTTCTAGATACGACCACCAAACTCTTGGGCGGTGGTCATAAATTTCAACATTTTCATTAGAAACTGAGCCCGATCGAGGCTTGCAGCCATAATTCAATTACCTCCTAAATATTTCACCAGGGTCACATTAGTCATTGTGGAAAATCCGTTATCAGTGGAACATACTACATTGCTATACACTCATACCTCGGTTATCCGGACCCCGAAGTTACGGGCACTTCGGTCTACCGGGCACTATTTGGGCGAGTTTCAGGGGAAATATTACTACTCTTTTGTCACTTTTCGTAGAAATATTGACGTCATATGCCATATCGATGGCCTTTTCCCCATCAAGATGTATATGATTCGGAGTTACGGACATTTCAAAGTTACGGGCAGTGCAAGGTCCCGGACTGCCCGGATAAACGAGGTATGAGTGTACTTCTTATCACTGGCAGGAGAAGATTCCTTCAAGAGTACGAGGTTCTTGTTTGCAATAGCCAAAATCAGGGAAGTCTTTAACATCAGCTTACAAGTATCTCTCTGCCTTTGCCAGTAAGTTTTGCTTTATGGTCGACTCTCTTTCACCATTACAGATGTACCGGTATTACGCTTTCGGGTAAATTTCCCTTTGGACTTTGGCCAGGCTGTCAGTCAGAGCTACATATCCAGTGGTGGCTGTGTGCAATCCCTGGTGTTCAACATACATATACATCTACATGTACAGCATTTTCATTATTCTTGTCCAGATTCCAGTAGTAGTGCAGTACTCGGTTTTCACGATTGCTCCACACACAGTCATATTATGTACATGTCCAGTGTAGTGCAGCACCTATATCATGATGTGTTGTCACATACTTTTACACAAATACAAATCTCCGTAGAAGGATTACCGGTACACAGGTACATACGCACAATAGGTACTAGCATAGCCCAACATACATCAAGGTCATTGCCAGCAAGTCAGCCCCCCAAACCAAAACATCTTCATACGCCACTGCATGGATGAGTCGGTCCCCGGCTCCATGTACTAACCTTCACACTCGTCTCCACTCAACACTGCAGTATACTGATACAGGTAATCAACTTTGACAGCGTGTGTAGGAAGAACAACGAGTCTAGAATCTACTCCAGGACATGTAGAAGACTAAACTTCATTCAAGGTAGTTAGTTCGATTTGATCCGCTAGCACTGTCCAAAAGACTCGCAGTGTCCGCTAAACTCGTATACGGACAGTCGGACTAATGCCTGAAGTATTGGTGAGCGATGGTCTGCGCAACGAACGTTAGTTACACTTACAAAGTACGCGTTCAAAGTTTCAAACAGTGGCTGGGCTTCTTCTTGGCGATTGTTCAACTGGTTCTAGAAGTCACTGAGCTAGCGTGCAACGAAATGAGTTCCTAACTCTGCGGGGGCCTGCAGATCGACGACTACCACTCTTATCAGTTAGACAGGAATCCAAGACAGAAAACTTTAAAAAAACTATCTCGGACCAGCTCCAAAGCCAAAGCCAAACTGGCCCAAAGGCTTCACGTCCGTGACAACACTGACTCAACGAAACAATGGTGAATCCACCGCCGGGCACCGACACGGCGACAGACTAGACTCAGTCCAAGGCAAGTGGTCCGTGCTTGAGATCAAGCGCCACGGAAAAATACAGGACGTCCGACGTCACCATGGTCACGGTTCCTTCGATGCGCATAGCAACGGTCCATGCACACTGTACTATTACTAAAAATCGCAAAAGAAATCGTCCTCTCCACAGAACCAGTTGCCAGTGGCAACACATGCAAGTCGCATACATGCACTTGACTTTCATTCTTCTTTGTTGTTTTCAGTGTTTTCTCTTTCTCATTGATCTCGACAGTGTTGTGGTGCTCGTTATCTTACTGAGACATCTCTTGTGACCGTGGTCAGTGTCACCAACGGCGCAACGAGGCGGAGCGCCGGGATCGAGCGTGGAAAAACGCTCTGCATTAGCAGCTCCTGTAGTGAAAAATGTTTTCTGCGATGGCACGTCCAAAGTCAACAGAGCCAAGGTGCAAGCCAGCGTGAGAGATCTCGTATAGGATGTGAGCTCAAGACGGTAAGCTGCTGAAAAAGTGGAAAGACACGTGTATTTACAAACTCTCTCTCTCTCTTCAATGAACACTTCATCCATCGATTGGCGCTATGCATTTCGTGTTGTGGTCACAGATAATCTGGGCAAATGTAAAAGTACAACTGGAGAGTGCTATGGTGTTAGGGACGTGTCCCAAAGTGTCATCACATGGCTGTGGAGACTAGTACACACCTGGAGGAATATTTCTACAACAGTGATACGGAGTGATATGGAGTGCAGATGGATGGATAGAAAAGAAAACTGAGATGATGGGAAGTAAGTACATGTCATGTAAGTTGATTGTGTGGAAGAAATTTGAAATAAGATAAAATAAAAGTTTCACTCAAACATACATGTAACATCCTGATTAGTATTCCATCTTCATTTTTCCAGGTAGTGGCACTCCACACGCTCCGATTACCTGGTGTTTGTGTGTGTGTGTGTGTGTGTTTCAGGGGTGTCGGCTGTTGGGCGGTTCAACAGCCAATTGAGTCAACTTTCCAAGACTCCTTTTGAGTCTCTCTCCCCTCTCCCGGGGAGACCCACATGACCAGTTTTGGCAGTGAGCAACAAGTGCAAGTGTGTGTGTGTGTGTGTGTGTGTGTGTGTGTGTGTGCATATGTGTGTGTGTATATGTGTGTGTGTGTCCTCAGCCCTTGCAAAGACCCTTGGAGTGCCTGAGGACATTGGTCACATCGTACGGGAGCGGCGTTTGTGCTGGCTTGGACATGTGACATGGATGGAAGATCACCGGTTGCCCAAGTGTGTTCTCTTCGGTGAACTGCCTGCCCCGCGCCCCGCGTATGGTCCACGCAAGAGGTGGAGGGACGTCATTATGGATGACGTTTCGTCGGTTGAGCCACCGGTACCAACATGTTGATGGTACGGTGCAGCCCAGAACAGTCCGGAGTGGCGTACCATTGCCCGTCGACCACCCAATGCACCCTCTGCTGCTGGCTACGGTTGCGCCTGTGGCCGCATGTTCCGTCGAAGTGGCGACCTGAAACGCAATCAGTCGTTCTGTCGTGGACTGGAGAATTAACTATGCGCTATCATTGCTAAGCAATGGGCAAGGTAAAGGTGTGTGTGTGTGTACTGCATGTGTGTGCATGTGTGTGTGTGTGCGTACAGTATGTGTGTGTGTGTGTTTGTACAGTATGTGTGTGTGTGTGTGTGTGTGTGTGTGTATTGTGTGCCACGAACCTTTCTGCCGGTTGCCGCCATATTAGTCCTTTCTCTATCATTGCCTCTGGCAATGGGCAAGTTCAAGGTTCAAGGATGTGTGTGTGTGTGTAGTCATGCATACACTCTCGTGTGTGGTTGAGTTGGCCAGACAAAGTGACCGTGCATGGGCACGAGGTTTCCGTCATGTCGATGGTATTGGAATTACGTACCGTATTTTCTGTAGACAACGCCGCACTTTGAACACTCAAAATTCATCCAAAAGAATGGCTTATGTT